ATGCCGCGGAGCAGCTGGGCCCGTGCGTCCGGAGCCTGTGCTCCGCAGTGGGACAGGCCACAGCAGTGAGAGGCCCGCATACCGCAAAAAAAACCCCAAAACAAAACAGAAATTCGTTCAAAAAACAATGGTTGCAGTGAAATACTAGGAATAGAGCAACATAACATTTTTAGTTTTTTAGTCTTTACCAGTCTCATTACATTTTTACCTTATTGACAGAATACTTAAAACACTAATAATGCGCTAGAACCAAAAACATAATGCCGCGGAGCAGCTGGGCCCGTGCGTCCGGAGCCTGTGCTCCGCAGTGGGACAGGCCACAGCAGTGAGAGGCCCGCATACCGCAAAAAAAACCCCAAAACAAAACAGAAATTCGTTCAAAAAACAATGGTTGCAGTGAAATACTAGGAATAGAGCAACATAACATTTTTAGTTTTTTAGTCTTTACCAGTCTCATTACATTTTTACCTTATTGACAGAATACTTAAAACACTAATAATGCGCTAGAACCAAAAACATAATAATACCTTTAAATTTGAGAATGCCTTATAACTATTTCACTATACACGATTTTCAAGTTCCTTTCCTGTGGATTTTTTCCCCACAAGATTGCTTATTCATCTTTGTCTCCTCCTAGGGCCTAGCACAGTAGAGGGTATATACCTCCTAACAGGTGTGGGTGTTCAGTAAATAACTGTTTAACTGGATTGGACTCCAAGGATTCAGATGTCAGTGTATGGTAACCTAGTAGAAAGACATACACTTTTCACCAGCCCCTCTCATCCTCAGCACTTTCATGTAGCGGTCTAATTCCAGTAGTCTGAAGATGCTGCAATATGTTAACTATTTTTTACCTTGAGTTTTCAACCTTCCTGGCTTTTCATCCATTTTCCTGTTTTCCTGAGTTCATTGAGTAATACACATGTGAGACTTTTTCTGATACCAGGAAGAGAAACTCCGTGATGAGTTAGATGAATTAAAAGCATGAAGCTGGAAAAGGGATAAGAATAGATTTTGGCACATGGGTGGAAAAGGAACACACATATGGGATGTGAAGGGCTGCAAATACAGGCAGAGCTGTAAAGACAGTAAAGGTAGGAAAACAGAGGCAGAGGCAGGTCAGGGAGGAAGAACTAAAAGCGTAGACACAAAGTGATGGAGTCTCCCCCAACACCCAGAGAGAGGCAAATAAATACTGTTCTGAGAAGCCCCATAATTTCACTATTTGAAGAAGACATGTTTCACATTACATTAGACAAAATATGCCACTTTGTAAGCATAATTATATTTATGTACTTTATCAAAATTCTTTTTAAAAATTGCTGTATAATTGACATGTATTACATTAGTTTCAGGTGTACAACATAATGATTCAATATTTGTGTATATTGTGAAATGATCACCACCATAAATAGAATTAACATCCTTTGCCACATATAGTTATCAAAATTCTTGATTCCCATTTGGGGGCCTGTATAATTTGAATGATCCTCTGATTTTTGACACCCTCAAAGCATGAGTAATATTTTTACACATAAACTTTGCACATAAATTAAGAAGATTTCATTAAACCCTGCTGTTTGTAATTTGATGAATGAAATGGTTTTTCCAACATGGAGGCAGAGAAAATCATTTTGGTTGTAAAGGATAAACTAGTAAGCTATGCAAATAAATATATTTTGAATTCTTGTCCTTTCAGCTTTTAATAATTTTTTTTTAAAGTTACTTATTTGGCTTAGGACAGTAATGAACAAAGGAATTGATTTTCTGTTAACACTATTAAGATTATTAGATAGGAATAGTCTGTATTGCCCTCTATTGGTGAGTGTTATTTTTGACAAAATAATTGCTGCTGTATGTGTCATTTATATGTATTTAATGTTTGTATCAACCAGTATACTTTATAGAAAAGCACTTTAAAAACTGACCTAATAGTTGTAGCCGTGAATTGGCAAAAGGGGGAAAAATTGACCTTGTGTGCTTATTGATTTAATAGTTTTATTGACTAATGTAGTATTGAAATACTTTTGCCTTTGATTAATTTTAATTTTATGTATTTATTTTTTGTCAGAGCTCCACCTCAGATAAGGCGTCCCAATCGAGAAGTAAGACCTCTGAGGAAAGAAATGCCAGGAGGAGGAGCCCGGGGACCTGTAGGCCGAGCACATCCTATATCAAAGAGTGAAAAACCCTCTACAAGTAGGGACAAGGATTGTAGAGCAAGAGGGAGAGATGACAAGGCAAGACTACCTCTTTGTAACCCACTCACTTTAAGCCCGTGATGTTTGTTGCTTATTATACTTTTAGTGGGCTTTTCAGAGGACCCTGGTTTTGACATGGAAGAGATTTTTTTAAAAACTTTGAATCAAAAACCTATGCAGTCTTTGCATTTTGAAGGCCATTCTGCACTGTCAGTAACCTCAGAGGTGTATATATTTCTTAATACACACACACAGAAATCTTAAGTAAAATGGAGCTTTTCATTCTTTGAATTTCAAAATTGTATTAAATATCATCACAATTCTGATAATTAAAGATAAAAAATGACAAAATTAAATAGGAAATAATTTTGAATCTTAAATAGTAGTCCACGTTCACTTAGAGGAGGATGAGGAGGTAGTTTGAATTTTCTTTTTTTCCCACCCCCCTGCGGCTTTCCCCCTTGGTGTCCATACGTTTGTTCTCTATATCTGTGTCTCAACTTCTGCCCTGCAAACAGGTTCATCTGTACCATTTTTCTAGGTTCCACATACATGCGTTAATATACGATATTTGTTTTTCTCTTTCTGACTTACTTCACTCTGTATGACAGTCTCTAAATCCATCCACGTCTCAACAAATGACCTAATTTCATTCCTTTAATGGCTGAGTAATATTCCATTGTATATATGTACCACATCTTCTTTATCCATTCCTCTGTCGATGGGCATTTAGGTTGCTTCCATGACCTGGCTATTGTAAATAGGACTGCAGTGAACATTGGGGTGCATGTGTCTTTTTGAATTATGGTTCTCTCTGGGTATATGCCCAGTAGTGGGATTGCTGGACCACATGGTAATTCTATTTTTAGTTTTTTAAGGAACCTCCATACTGTTCTCCATAGTGGCTGTATCAATTTACATTCCCACCAACAGTGCAAGAGGGTTCCTTTTCTCCACGCCCTCTCCAGCATTTGTTGTTTGTAGATTTTCTGATGATGCCCATTCTAACTGGTGTGAGGTGATACCTCATTGTAGTTTTGATTTGCATTTCTCTAATAATTAGTGATGTTGAGCAGCTTTTCATGTGCTTCTTGGCCATCTGTATGTCTTCTTTGGAGAAATGTCTGTTTAGGTCTTCTGCCCATTGTTTGATTGGGTTGTTTATTTCTTTAATATTGAGCTGCATGAGCTGTTTATATATTTTGGAGATTAATCCTTTGTCCGTTGATGCGTTTGCGAATATTTTCTCCCATTCTGAGGGTTGTCTTTTCGTCTTGTTTATGGTTTCCTTTGCTGTGCAAAAGCTTTGAAGTTTCATTAGGTCCCATTTGTTTATTTTTGTTTTTATTTCCATTACTCTAGGAGGTGGATCAAAAAAGATCTTGCTGTGATTTATGTCAAAGAGTGTTCTTCCTATGTTTTCCTCTAAGAGTTTTATAGTGTCTGGTCTTAGATTTAGGTCTCGAATCCATTTTGAGTTTATTTTTGTGTATGGTGTTAGGGAGTGTTCTAATTTCATTCTTTTAACATGTAGCTGTCCAGTTTTCCCAGCACCACTTATTGAAGAGGCTGTCTTTTCTCCATTGTATATCTTTGCCTCCTTTGTCGTGGATTAGTTGACCATACGTGCGTGGGTTTATCTCTGGGCTGTCTATCTTGTTCCATTGATCTATGTTTCTGATTTTGTGCCAGTACCATATTGTCTGGATTACTGTAGCTTTGTAGTATAGTCTGAAGTCAGGGAGTCTCATTCCTCCAGCTCCATTTTTTCCCCTCAAGACTGCTTTGGCTATTCGGGGTCTTTTGTGTCTCCATACAAATTTTGAGATGATTTGTTCTAGTTCCGTAAAAAATGCCATTGGTAATTTGATATGGATTGCATTGAATCTGTAGATTGCTTTGGGTAATATAGTCATTTTCACAATATTGATTTTTCCAATCCAAGAACATGGTATATCTCTCCATCTGTTTGTATCATCTTTAATTTCTTTCATCAGTGTCTTATAGTTTTCTGCATACAGGTCTTTTGTGTCCCTAGGTAGATTTATTCCTAGATATTTTATTCTTTTTGTTGCAGTGGTAAATGGGAGTGTTTCCATAATTTCCCTTTCAGATTTTTCATCATTGTTGTATAGGAATGCAAGAGATTTCTGTGCATTAATTTTGTATCCTGCAACTTTACCAAATTCATTGATTAGCTCTAGTAGTTTTCTGGTGGCATTTTTAGGATTCTCTGTGTATAGTATCATGTAATCTGCAAACATTGACAGTTTTACTTCTTCTTTTCCAATTTGTATTTCTTTTATTTCTTTTTCTTCTCTGATTGCTGTGGCTAGGACTTCCAAATCTATGTTGAATAATAGTGGTGACGGTGGACATCCTTGTCTCATTCCTGATCTTAGAGGAAATGCTTTCAGTTTTTCACCATTGAGAATGATGTTGGCCGTGGGTTTGTCATATATGGCCTTTATTATGTTGAGGTAGGTTCCTTCTTTGCCCACTTCTTGGAGAGTTTTTATCATAAATGGGTGTTGAATTTTGTCAAAAGCTTTTTCTGCATCTATTGAGGTGATCATATGGTTTTTATTCTTCAATTTGTTAATATGGTGTATCACATTGATTGATTTGCATATATTGAAGAATCCTTGCATCCCTGGGATAAATCCCACTTGATCATGGTGTATGATCCTTTTAATGTGTTGTTGGATTCTGTTTGCTAGTATTCTGTTGAGGATTTTTGCATCTATATTCATCAGTGATATTGGTCTGTAATTTTCTTTTTTTGTAGTATCTTTGTCTGGTTTTGGTATCAGGGTGATGGTGGCCTCATAGAATGAGTTTGGAGTGTTCCTTCCTCTGTAATTTTTTGGAAGAGTTTGAGAAGGATAGGTGTTAGCTCTTCTCTAAATGTTTGATAGAATTCACCTGTGAAGCCATCTGGTCCTGGACTTCTGTTTGTTGGAAGATTTTTAATCACAGTTTCAATTTCATTACTTGTGATTGGTCTGTTCATATTTTCTGTTTTCTTCTGGTTCAGTCTTGGAAGGTTATACCTGTCTAAGAATTTGTCCATTTCTTCCAGGTTGTCCATTTTATTGGCATAGAGTTGCTTGTAGTAGTCTCTTAGGATGCTTTGTATTTCTGTGGTGTCTGTTGTAACTTCTCCTGTTTCATTTCTAATTTTATTGATTTGAGTCCTCTCCTTCTTTTTCTTGATGAGTCTGGCTAATGGTTTATCAATTTTGTTTATCTTCTCAAAGAACCACCTTTTAGTTTTATTGATCTTTGCTATTGTTTTCTTTGTTTCTATTTCATTTATTTCTGCTCTGATCTTTATGATTTCTTTCCTTCTGCTAATTTGGGGGTTTGTTTGTTCTTCTTTCTCTAGTTCCTTTAGGTGTAAGGTTAGATTGTTTATTTGAGATTTTTCTTGTTTCTTGAGGTAGACCTGTATGACTATAAACTTCCTTCTTAGAACTGCTTTTGCTGCATCTCATAGGTTTTGGATCATCGTGTTTTCATTGTCATTTGTCTCTAGGTATTTTTTGATTTCCTCTTTGATTTCTTCAGTGATCTCTTGGTTATTTAGTAACGTATTGTTTAGCCTCCATGTGTAGGTGTGTTTTACATTTTTTTCCCTGTAATTCATTTCTAATCTCATAGTGTTGTGGTCAGAAAAGATGCTTGATATGATTTCAATTTTCTTAAATTTACTGAGGCTTGTTTTGTGACCCAGGATGTGATCTATCCTGGAGAATGTTCCATGCGCACTTGAGAAGGAAGTGTAATCTGCTGTTTTTGGATGGAATGTCCTATCAGTTAAATCTATCTGGTCTATTGTATCATTTAAAGCTTCTGTTTCCTTATTTATTTTCATTATGGATAATCTGTCCATTGGTGCAAGTGAGGTGTTAAAGTCCCCCACTATTATTGTGTTACTGTCGATTTCCTCTTTTATAGCTGTTAGCAGTTGCCTTATGTATTGAGGTTCTCCTATGCTGGGTGCATACATATTTATAATTGTTATATCTTCTTCTTGGAATGATCATTATGTAGTGTCCTTCCTTGTCTCTTGTAACATTCTTTATTTTAAAGTCTATTTTATCTGATATGAGTATTGCTACTCCAGCTTTCTTTAGATTTCTGTTTGCCTGGAATATCTTTTTCTGTCTCCTCACTTTCAGTCTGTATGTGTCCCTAGGTCTGAAGTGGGTCTCTTGTAGACAGCATATATATGGATCTTGTTTTTGCATCCATTCAGCAAGCCTCTGTCTTTTGGTTGGAACATTTAATCCATTCACGTTTAAGGTAATTATCGATATGTATGTTCCTGTGACCATTTTCTTAATGGTTTTGTTTTTGTGGATCCTTTTCTTCTCTTGTGTTTCCCACTTAGAGCAGTTCCTTTAGCATTTGTTGTAGAGCTGGTTTGGTGGTGCTGAATTCTCTTAGCCTTTGCTTGTCTGTAAAGCTTTTGATTTCTCCATTGAATCTGAATGAGATCCTTGCTGGGAAGAGTAATCTTGGTTGTAGGTTCTTCCCTTTCATCACTTTAAGTATATCATGCCACTCCCTTCTGGCTTGTAGAGTTTCTGCTGAGAAATCAGCTGTTAACCTTATGGGAGTTCCCTTGTATGTTATTTGTCGTTTTTCCTTTGCTGCTTTCAATAATTTTTCTTTGTCTTTAATTTTTGCCAGTTTGATTGCTATGTGTCTTGGCGTGTTTCTCCTTGGGTTTATCCTGTATAGGACTCGCTGTGCTTCCTGGACTTGGGTGGCTATTTCCTTTCCCATGTTAGGGAAGTTTTTGACTATAATCTCTTCAAATATTTTCTCTGGTCCTTTCTCTCTCTCTTCTCCTTCTGGGACCCCTATAATGTGAATGTTGTTGCATTTAATGTTGTCCCAGAGGTATCTTAGGCTGTCTTCATTTCTTTTCATTCTTTTTTCTTTATTCTGTTCTGCAACAGTGAATTCCACCATTCTGTCTTCCAGGTCACTTATCTGTTCTTCTGCCTCAGTTATTCTGCTATTGATTC